ATTCGCATCGATCGAGTGGGTGAGCTGTTACGACTCGCCAAGGATCAGAATATTGCCATAGTATGTTTCCAGAGTGCTCTGATGAGTGGCACCACCCCATGGAATTGTGCTGGGTATAGGATCTACCCTACCCCACGGAGTTCTACTCGAACCAAATATGGGCGTCTCACCGCCTTCAATTTATCTTACCTCAACCCGCTGGAGGTCTTCCAGGACGACTTCTCGGACTTCGCGTACGACGTGAGGGGCGCCCAGAGCGCGACCTCTACATATTGAACGGCTATGCGCCGACCAACTCTCCACCGTACCAACCCGCGAGAGCCGACCGAGACAATCAGCAGCAGGCTCATAGACTGGCGCAGGACAATTCTTGGCACGCCAGTGAGTCTGCATTCCGAAGAGTCCCGCAGCGTACTACGTTGATCTGGTGCCTTGATGCAAATGGAACGATGGCCCCAGAACTTCCTCACGTTGGCTTCGCTGGTACTGATCGCATCCCAAGAGTTACCAACCACAACGACGGCCAGCTACTCAGTATTCTGCAATCCCAGCATTTGACGGCGTTGAACACCCACGGCAGCAAGAGCGCTCACACAGGCACATGGCTTCATACTGACGGTACTACTTGGAATCAAATTGACTTCATTTGTACATGGCTGCGGGGAGGAGCTGGATATGGTGCCAAAGTATTACCTTCACTTCCCGTGAGTCTTGGAGGCTACCGCGATCATCGACCACTCGAGGCTCGGATTTCAACCAAGTTTAAATGCCGCAAGATTCCGTCGCCCCTGTTGCCCAGATGGAATCGTGATTTACTCCTTCATGACTTGCGAACTACTTTACACGAAGATACGGTGCCTGCAAGGGTGCAAGGCTTTCGAGACAGGCTACGCGGTGAGCTGCATCACCGCCAAATCCGATGCGATTGGCGTCAGGAATGCGGCCCTGGTCTTCTATTCCCCCGCCCATCAGCACTACAATGCTCTCGAAGGAGCGGTCGTGGATGCTGCGTATTCTATCTGTGTTGGCAACCCTGCGGCAGCTAAGAAGCAGGAGTTGACTGAGCATACTCTTCAGCTGATTGGACGTAAGCAGTACTATCAACGAATGCTTTCTAAGGTGAGGAACCAACAATCATGGTTGTACAAATCAACCTTCTCTGAGTTTCGCCGTGCGGCGAAAGTTGCGAAGAGAGCTGTCCGTTCACAGAAGCGACGGCATGTTGCGGCTCCGGTCGCCGACGCAGAGAGAGTGGACGCAGTGCGTTACATTCGACGTTGCTACTCCATCATCATGAGGCTCGCGCCCAAGCCTAGGATGCCGATGCTGACAGTCCGCAACCCAGCAACGGGGACCCGTGCTTCGATGACGAAGAGGAACAGCAGGTCCGCACGGACGCGCTGCGCTCTATTTTCGAGGCCACATAGAAACCCACGGACGACGATGGCGGACCTCAGGAGATCATCGATGCCCCCGATGAAGACCTCATCGGCCAGTATGACGCCAATGATGCGACCCAGGCTTTGGAGAGGCCCCCCAACTTCAAGAGTGCCCCCGTCCTCAAGTGGACAGACCCCGTCACCTCTCAGGCCCCTCGACAGGGCCCCGAAGGTGCGGCTGCCGAACTTTGGAAGCTCTTTACGGAGATTATCGGAGATCCCCTTCTGGGAGTTTTCCAGGCTGCACAGGCGTATCGAAGGGCGCCCCAAAGGTTCAAGCGCGTGAAACAGCTTCCCTGGGGAAGCCCAATGAGACGGGTTGAACGCCAAGGGCCATTACAGAACCATCGACCTCATCGGACACGCGGGCAAAGCCATCGCAAACACGTGACCATTATGCCAGAGCTGCGCCAGATGTCTAGCAAGTTGTCCGGCGCGCAGTTTTGGCGCGCTGCAAGACCGTTCTACTCGCGATGCCATTGCTCTAGTCGACGAGGTCAGCAGACGCTTTCGTTCTAATCCATGGCGTGCCCAGAACCCAGCAGTCATCCTCGTCTCGGCTCTGATTGACTTGGAGAAGGCGTTTGATTTGCTCGATCGGCAGCAGGCGCGGGCCCCCCTCGAGAAACTCGCTCTGTCTCGACAAGCTCGCTCGACTGTTCAGGAGTTATATAACGGAGCGCGTTATATTCCCAGGGATGCCCGTACGAATCGTCCTTGCCGTCGATTTCTTATTCGGAAGGGGCTTCGGCAAGGTAGTGTGGAGGGCCCAGGGCTATTCATCGCGATCTATGACATGATTACCAATGATATCGGGGACCAAACTTGAGTCGCGGGGTGTCATGGGCGTCCAGGTCCAGTACGACCCCTCCTTCCAGGTTTCCAGGAATTCCGAGGACTTTGCGGCTGCCGAGTTATCCGTTCTAGACACGTCCCAGATAAAATTCGTAGATGGTTTAATCGCCCCGGCTATCGTCGACGACTTCGACGCACGCAGTCACCTCGTTCCTAGACTTCCTGAGGACTCAGGTTAATGCCAGCGGTCTGACTATGAATGTCCAAAAACCCAGGTGATGTTGAGCGCTGCGGGGAGGGGCAGCAGGAAACTTCGGCAACAGACTGCAAGACAGCAGACTGACATTCACATGACCCACGTAGACATGCAGGTCCGCGCCCTACACCCGACACCGACGTTTAAGCACCTCGGCTGCTTGCTCTCTGCCACGGGCCCCTACTCCCCCGAGGTCAGGACTCGCTTCTCATCTGCGAACAAGGCGCACGGCCGTCTTGCCCAACGTGTTCTAAAGGGCAACCTCAGTATCCGTCTGAAGGTGCGGCTGTGGTGCTCGCTTGTTCGTTCGATCGCGCTGAGCGCGCTGGAGGTGGCCTTCCTGGCCCAAGCCGATCTGAAGAAGTTGGAAAGATGGCAGACCCGCAAACTTCGACATATTTTGCGGTCGCCCGCTCACATGCATCGCGTCTCCAGCTCGGATATTCGTAGGAGAGCCACCATCTTCAGTGCCAGCTCTACTCTCCTGTATCGTAGGCTTCAGTGGTGGCGGCGTGTCATATCTCCAGGGCGTCTACCAGAAACCCCAGACTACGACCCCACGATAGCTACGCGATCAGTAGTATTCGGGAAGCTTTCCTTTGAGGACTCCAGGTGTCGCAACCACTCCTGCCGAATAGGACAACTCCTCTCGGATCTTCGGGCGCTTTGGACTCGCATCTCAGCAGCTGACAAGGAGCGATCACCGTCCAAATCGCCGCGTGTGTCTCGTGACTGGCTGGAGTGGCTGAACATGCTCTCTGTTGCCGAGCTCAGAGTGGCCCTCTCGCGCGAAGCTGAGAGCGACTTCAAGCAGGAGGCAGGGGAGATTGATGCCTGTCGACTTCTTGCGCGCCCAGAGCGTGGAAAAGGATGCAACGGTCGGAAGGGGTTGGGGAACCGCAGGTTTGCGGCCCACTCGATCATTGCCAACCGTGTGAATATCCCCTCCGAGGACCTCAGTGCACGCAGGTGCCCACGCTGCTCCCGAGTGTTTACTCGCAAGGACACCCTGGTCAGGCATATCCAGCTGAAACGATGCCCACATCTTTCCGATCCGCAGCTTGTTCGGGCTCAGACGCCGCCATCGCTATCAATTCCAGATCGACCACCATTGACAGCGGCAGTGACCAACACATTGAGAAGTGATGTTCGCTCCCGCGGCCGAGCTACCCGTGAAGCGAGATGCGGGCGAGGCAGGGGTCGATGGGCATCGACCTGAGCGCCGAGGGCGCCGAGGTAGCGGGCACCTTGAAGAAGGACCGACAGATGACCAAACTACTGCTGCTGCACGGAGACAACTTTCGAGGGACGGCGCGAGATCAGAACGTGGTTGTTCGGGGCTCCGAGTCTGCCCCCAGACGCAGGTGGCGCTGGAGTCGAGCACGGCCTACTACCAGAAAGTCGGGAAAGAGGCCAGGGGCAAGGTCGTGGCTGCCGACCTGCTCGGCAAGAAGCTCGACGACTACCTCTGCATGCTGCTGTTCAGATTGAGCGAAGCCGTGGTGACCAGGCCCGAGGAGGTGGTGATAGTGGTGGCCGCGGCTGCCAAGGGCACCAACCCTCAGGAATCGGCCTCGGAGCTGATGATGCTGGCGGAGTTCGGGAAGTGCCCCAAGGGTCCCGGGCCGAGGATCAAAGCGACGAGGTGCTTCGACGTGAGAGCCCCAACGGCGATCGACGGAGAGGAGGGAGAGGAAACCAAGTGGATATTCGCCGCTATGTCGCACCCCACGGTGATGGCAGCGCTGCGTGTGCTCAAAGCCAACGGGGGGCAGTGGTATGAGCTCGAGAAGTTGATATTCAAGGGAGGCGGGGACAGGTCCAACGGATTGCTGAAGCGCCCGATAAAGAAGTGAGGCCCCGCGCAGGCCTCGGCAGATCCTAGTCTTCTACAGTAGACCTGCGAAACTACTTCGAAGTTCTTGGGCCAGGCCCCGAGGGAGGCTAGCTCAATTGTTTTCTTTGATGAGGGCCCGCCTTTACACTAGAGGGGGTTCAGGCGGCCGCTCTCGTTGTGCCATCCCCGCAGAGGAGGGGGTGTTCGAGCGCGGGGCCATAGGTCCCGCGTGCGTGCTCGCTCCTCTGGCCCTCTGCCTCGTCGCTCTGCGCTCTGCGCTTTCTCGAGGTTGCGCCGTGTTTACGGTTGGTTTTCGGACGGGCCCGACGCTGGACATCCGATCGATTATTCTAGGGTGTTGCGCTGGTAAAAGGAAGCTCGGCGGAAGGCGGCGGAGGTGACAGGTGTGCCCCCAAGAGGTGAAAACGTGTTTGGGCGCAGGGCCTCCGAAACGCGCCATATATATATATATATATATATATATATGTGTATATATAAATACACCGATGTATATACATATATGTATATGTATATATGTATACATATGTGTGTGTGCGAACATGTATATATGTGTGCGTATTTTCGCACAGGCGCAGAACACGAATCGGCATGCGTGCGTACTCTGCGTGCCCTCGCCGGCGAGCGCGGCGGGAGAGCTGGGGCAGAGGGGCAGGCACCGCCCGGAGGGCCGCGCAGATCCGGGCCGTCCGGGAGCTGGGGCTGCTCGGGCCCCAGATGCGCCTCGTCGTCTTCGAAGAACCCCTACTTCCCACACTTCCTCGAATCGTGGAAAAATCACGACGGCAGGCTTTTCGCTATTTTCGACCTCCGGGGGGCTTTTACCGGGCCTCGGGGCCGTCGAAAAACGATTCAGGATGAAAAGCCGGTCCCGGGGAAAGGGTCCGGACCTCTGGGGGTCGCGTCACGAAAAAATCACGACGTCGGTGGTTTGGGTTAGATGCTCGTTTAGGGGACCTTCTTGAGGCCCACCTAACGGGCCTGTTTGATTCTAGGTCGATTCAAGTTCGACTCAGGTTCGACTCAAGCTGGACTCAAGCTCGACTCAGGTTCGACTCAGGTTGGACTCAAGGTCGGCTCAAGTCGACGGACTCACGACGCAGCTTCGACGCACGAGTGGAGCGAGTGTCTCCTGGAAGGTCCCCAGAATGAGTTTAGACGTGGAATGTAAAGAACAGGTTGGGGTCGGACGGGGCACGATGCTCCTCAGGTCCTTCCATGGCTGTTGCTCGCGCCTTAAGAGATCCGGAGCCAACCCCCCCCCTCCGCCCGACGTCGAGACGCCGAATACGAGACTGGGTCCTGGGGGTCGGCCCGCCCCATGCCCAGCATGCGAGCGAGCAGCTCTAGCATCACAGGGGTCGCCTCGGACTCTCCGCCCCTCTCCCTCGCGCCCTCCTTCCCGCTGCGCCGCCTCCCCGCTCCTCCTCCGCCCCTGGACTTTCCCCCTCCCCCCCCTCCCCTCCCCGTCCCCCTTCCTCCTGTCCCGCCCCCTCCTCCCTCCTGTCCTGCCCTCCCCTTCCTATCCTACCCTCCCTCCTCTCCTCCCCTGAACCTCCCTGCTTCCCCGCCCTCCCTCCCTATCCCCCCCTCCCCCCCCCCGTGCCCCCGCCACCTGCTCCCAGCCCCGCCGCCCCCGTGCCCCTCTTCTGGGGCTCCCAGCTCGAGCCTGCACTCCCCGACCCTCTGGCCGATCCCTGGGGTCGGGGGAGACGCGGCGCGTGGACCTGGCGGGCGTGGGCCGCACACCGGCCAGAGCCGATATACCGCAGGGCTCGGGGCTCAAGAAGGCGGGGGTCCCTGCAGATGGGGGTCCGCCAGAGCACCTTATGATCGCTTGCAGGCTCCTGCGGCAAGCCAAAGCCGCCTCCCCGCCCCTGGACTTTCCCGCCCCCTCCTCTCCTCTCCTCTCCCCCTTCCATGTCCTCCCCCCCTTCTGTTCTCCCCCCTCCTGTCCTGCCCTCCCCCCCATATCCTGCCCTCCCTCTCCTGGGCCTCCCGCACATTGGCCCGGGCTGGGGTTCAGGATCCTGCAGGATCTCGCCAAGACTGACCGACCCGGGTGTGCAGTGTTATGTCGGGCCTGTCCCCCTACAGGGGGATTGTCGACGAAAAATTTAGAATACCCTAGAAATGCCCCAAAAGGGTCAAAACATATCCCAAAAATAGTCCCCAGACTATTTGTTGGATGATTGTTTGATAATTTTTTGGGGGTATTTTTATTTTTCGTCGAAAATCCCCTTGTAGGGGGACACGCCCGACATGAGTGCAGTGACGCGGGTGCGCAGTGAGCCCCCAGAGGGGGCCCCGCGCCTGGGGAGGCGCCGAGAGCCGGGCACGGCCTGTGTGCTGGACGCGTGCAGCCCGGCCCTCGCCCCCCGCCGTCGGGCCTCCCCCTCGCGGCATGCCTGGGGGCGACGTAGCGCACACGCCTGCCACAGGTCATCGGTCGACGCGTCCCCCCCCCCCCCAGTGCTTACCCAAGTCGGGCGTGCCCCTCTACAGGAGGAATGTTCGAACGCAGTCAAACAGTATTCTGGGGACGATTGGTTTAAACTATGTTGGAGCGTTGTATGTGTGTTCGCTATACATAACAACAGAACGTTCGTCCCAAATCCCCCTGTAGTAGGCCGGCCCGACTCCCCCCAAGGCTCAAAGTTGGCGGTGGGTCTGATGAGTGGCATCTCGACCGCAGTCTCCCCCGTGCGTGCCGGCTTTGAGTCCGTGGGAGCGGGGGAGTGTCCACTGATTGCTTCCGCCTGTCGCAGGTCTTGGGATGCAGTTGCAGAGAGGCCAAATGCAGCATCCGCGCTGGTATACCCGTGATCGAAAAGTGGTCCGATATGGCATAATCCCGCTCAAGCCTCTGATGCCGCTTAGTCCAGCTCGATTTAGCTTACTTCCCGGCTGAATCCCGCCCACTCCCGCATATTTTTGCTTAATTCAGGTTAGTCCCCCGCTAAGTCCGGCCTAATCCGGCTGAGTGGCTCCATAAGCTAGGACGAGGATAAATCCGTTCCAGAGCGTTCTAGAACGCTCTCAGAGCGTTCCAGAACGTTCCGAGAAGGCCGCGGCGTCCGAGACATCCTCCAGAGCCGCTGGATCTCAGAGATTCTCGATTTACGCTCACCCGAGTAGATCCCCGCCCTGGCTTCTCGTCTTACTTAATAGCCCGCCATCGTTCTTACGAGAACCTCCACTAGGACTTGCCTCCTAAGCTCTCGCGTCCTCTCCCCTCCCTGCCTCTCCTCGCCCCTCTCCTTCTCCCCGTCCGTTTCGCATGCAATTCGTGGGAGGTCAAACTCTGACTTTGGCCTGGTCCGAAATCCAGTCTAATCCCGCGGAATCCCGCTTAATCCGGTTTGGTCCCGTTCAATATGTTTTCAATCCAGTTTAATTTGCGGCCGATTCCGGGTTAACAGCCCCCCAATGGGGTTTAATATTCCCTGATCTTTCCGACGAAGACATCCCAGTAGTCTAACCTCCGCCTCGTCGTTCCTCCTTTGCTCGTTCGGTAGCAAATTATAGGAGCCTTGTACACCTTCGCAATTCCGTCTCTAGCGTCGACTCGCGTCGATTCGCGTCGGGAGCCGGTTAGCGTCGATCTTGCGTCGACCCGCATCGATTTAGCGCCGATTAGCGCCGAGTCGCAAGAGCCGACAAGATGGCATGGGAGGCTCCCACGAGTTGCCACCGAACAGTAGTTGCCTCCTAAGCTCCGCCTCGCCGTCCCTTCTCCGCTTGCCCTCTGTCAGGAGGGATAAGACACAGACGCACTCAATCGCCGATTCCCCAGACAAGATGGGAAAATATGGGGAGTCCTGTTATTTGTGTCTATTTATTTGTGTATCCGATGGCCCCTTCACTCTGGCCTGGACCCCTTCGCCCCCCGTCGCCGCCGCTTCCTCGCGCCGCCCCCTCCCCCCCCGCCGCGGTGGGGCACGGCGCGGCCGAGGGCCGACCAGTGGAACGCGGCCAGGGCCTGCGAGTCCCGGGCGCGCCGCCAGCGCGCCATACAGAAGGACGACTGGGTCGTGTCCGTGAACGGCAGGAGGGGCATCGTCCAGGAGCTGCTCGCCGAGGGGAGGAGGAGGAGGAGGAGGAGGAGGAGGAGGAGGAGGAGGAGGAGGAGGAGGAGGGAGGAGGAGGAGGAGGAGGAGAGGGAGGAGGAGAGGAGGAGGGGAAGGAGGAGGAGGAGGAGGAGGAGGGAGGAGGAGGAGGATGGAGGATGGGGGAAGGGGAGGGGGTGGGGGAGGAGGGGAAGCGAGCCTGGCGAGGTCGCCGATGTCTGGGCGGGACTCTCGCAGCCGCCCGGCAACAGGAGTCGCATGTGTTTGGGGGATACCATGCCAGTCGCCCGTGGCAGCAGAGTTGGACAAGTTGGACACACCCACAGCTACGAGCGGGAGAGGAAGAGGACGAGAATGAGGAACGAGGGGGTGGGGAGGAGGAGGGGGAGAAGAAAGAGCAAACGAATCCTCCCTCCCCGATCGTCCAGGACCTGCTCAACGAGTTCAAGGGCAAGACGTGCGAGTTCGTCGTGCACCCGAGGGACGCCCAAGCTCTCTCTCTCTCTCTCTCACTCTGGCCCCGCTGGGGTGGCGGCCGTCGCCAGAGGGGTCTGGAGGTTGGGCCGTGCTTCAAGCTCCACTCTCCTCCCTCCTCCTCGTCCAATGCTGGCGTCTCGTGTTTCAGCGTGGTGGTCGCCAGAGGCGCGCCCACCCCGCTCGCCTTCGTGTGGGCGGGGAGACACGCGCCGCCCCCCTACGGTGGGCTCCCCGTCCAATGCCATGAGGCGTAAAGCTATGCGGTGCGATGCCGTGCCCTGTCGAGCTGTGCCCACGCCGCGCTCCGCGTTGTGGCCTGGGGCGGCGCAGGGCGGCGCTGCGAGGTGCTCGGCCGCGCCACTGCGCGCCCTGCTATGTTGCGCCATGCGTGGGGTTGCACTGCGTTTGATTGTGCCCGCGGTGCATCGCATGTAACGATCGGCGAGCAGGGAGAATCCGCGCCGCTTCGTCTTCCAATCGCCCCCCCTTCCACGGCGCAAGCTTTCTCACGTCCGTCGCCTGCTGCAAACGTCAGCCCCTGAGGGTGTGGGGCGTCTATGCGTAAGTCGGGCCTGTCCCTCGACAGGAGGAATGTTCAAACATAGCCAAACAAGTAATCCGGGGACGATTTGTTGATTATTATTCGGGGCATTTTTCATCGCCCGCAATCCGCCTGTAAGAGGACACGCTCGACCTAAGATCAAGGCGCGTCTGCCGCAAGAGGTTATCGCAGGCATGTGCTCCTTTCCGTCGCGCAGGAGGTCGTCGAGGGCCTGGAGTGCAAGTTCGTGAGCAAACAGTTGCCCCATGGTGGGGCGTGGGGCAGGGTTCAACTGAGAATCTGCAATCTACCGATGCCACTTGCCGTCCCTCGTCGGCGCGATTGGATTCGGTTCGAAGTCGTGGAGTCGCTGGGATTCGCGCGGGAGGTCTGGAGAGTGGCGGCATCGGTCGTACGTGTATGCAGCACGTGCCAAGGCTGGGCCATTCCCCGGTCCTCCTGTCATCCGGGCTCGGTGGGCGAGCTTGGCTACCACGCTACCATTCGAAAAAGGAAAACGCCAAATGTTTATGCGTATGCCGCTCTGTTCCAACATTTACGCATCAGAAGTATTGTTGTGTGTTTTGGAGCGGCCGAGACGTTTGCAAGTTTGGAGCCCAAGCCGTGGATCTTTACATTTTGGGTGCGTGAACTCATGTGGTGCACGCGATGTGGTGCAAGCCGTCCGCGCTGCACGCAGTGTGGTGCAATATGCGCGCGGAATGGTGCATGTTATGCGATGTTTCAACCGCGCGGTGCATGCTCTGCAGTGCGAGCTGTGACGTGCAAGCGGAGTTGCGACAACAGCACAGCGCAAGCAGCGCGAGGCGCCCACCGGGCGTCCACCGCCGCCCACCAGGCGAGACCTCGGCGGAAGCGGCCAGCGCACGACGCGACCACGAGGCGAAACCCCGACGGACGCGCCCAGCGCGCGGGGGCGACCACGAGGCGCCCTGGGCCGCCCGCCTACCGGGCGAAGCGCCCCCAGACCCACGGAACGACCCGAGGACGCCAAGCTCAAGGAACGTCGACCTGCAGGCGCTGCTTTGGGAAGTCTGCGACCCCGCGCGGACAAGACAGGCCAGGACGCTGACCGTGTGCCACTGCGCGCTCGCGGAGCCGAGCTCCGCGAAGCTCCGCCAGTGGGCTCTGCGCCTGTCAGGATCCCAGCGCGCTGGACTCGTCGTTCCCAGCGCACGTCGCTGGCCCAATTGGCTGCCGCGCTTTAGCTGGATGCTGCAGGGTCCGGCTTGAATAAGGAACACGTTTCAAGAGGGACTCGGTCGTTTCTTTGGTTTGAATGCGTTCCGCTGCCTTTTTGGCGGCGAGTCCCCCTGATGTTCCTTCGGACTTCCTAGAATCACTTTGAAAAAAATTGGCTTCGTTCCTTACTGATCGTTCCTTAGGTCAGGCCGAATACTGTATGAGTCCGAGTCGCCCACGGCTCGGTGTCTCTCCTCCCGTCGTGACAGCACGTCGTCGGCCGAGAGGAGCTTTGACCAGTCGGAGGCGATCGGGGCACGTGAGGGTGGCGGGGCGAGCGTGACGGGGAACAGAGACGAAGCGGGATGAGACTCGGACCATGCGATGCTTTTTGACTTTGCGTTTCCTGGCGCCCACAGACGTCTCCAGCTGGCGGCGGCAAGCCCCGCCGCTGTGTATGCCAGCGCGCCCTCGGAGTCCATGCAGCGTGTTCATGCCGAGCAGGCTCGGTGGGACCATCCCGAGGGCAGTCCAGGAGCTGGCGCTGTGATGCCGTGGCGTGTCGCGGCCGTAATGTCGCATCGTTGCGACGTTGCATCTCGGCAGTTCCTTGGGGCGTGTTAGAGCCTTCTCTCGGGAGCCTCATTGATTGATCTTGAGGGCCTGCTGGAGGCATCGGGTCCTTCATTGGCGCAGTGGTGCCACCGAGCTCCCCCGAGGAGGCTCGGGGGAGCGCCATCGTGGTGCTCTCGCCTGGGCGGGTTTTTTGCGTCAGTTTGGGAGTCTTGCTTTGAGGCGATTGTGCGTGGTCTCGGGGAGGTATCGGGCCATCTCGTGGGTCGTCTCGGGGGAAGGCTCTGGAATCCTGGGCTTCTGCAACCTTTTCTCGCCCTTCTGGACACGAACAAAAATACAGCACCAAGATCTTCCAACCTGTATCAGGGGATCTCGCAGAGTGATACGTTACGCCGAAAAAAATCAAAGTTCCGAGCCATGACGTGCAGTGGGCATGGTGGCAGATCCACGGAAGCCAAAAGAGGGCCGCGTCCAGAAGTTTCGAACGGCCTCTGGTTGGGTGTCGACTGCCCTCGCAGAGCCTCGTGGGAGGCCTCTCGGAGGCCTCGTGGGGCCTGAGGAGCAGCCCCAGCTCTTGAGAAGGGCACCCTGTAGAGGCCTCCTGGGTGCCTGGTCGGGGCGTGGGAGTCCTGTAGCCCTCTGGCGAGGCTCGGGACCGTCTGGAGCGGTCCTGGGCATTGGGGGCACTTCCGCCCGACAGGCCAGGATTGTCGCCGCTGGCGGCCTAATCAGTTCGCGGGTTGGCAGCGCCGCACGGCCCTGGCCGGCAGCTCCTCGAGGATGGTCCGGGAGGCAGGCGAGATGGCAACCGGGACGAGAGCGCGGCGTCCTGCCGTAGGCAGCTTTGGCTGCCTGCTGCTGCGGCTGCGCTTTGCATTCTTGCCCTTTCGTTCTCCCTCGCCCCGTCGTGGTGCGGTGGAAGACGCTGCGGTGCTGCGTTCGTGAGTGCCCGCGCACCGATCCCGCAGCGCCAGCAGCCTCCACAGCAGATGGACGAGGAAGAGGACGACTCGGACATCCAACGCCTCGTGGTTACAAATTCAGGAGGGGACAGACACACAGACACAATTTATCGTCGTTTCCCCAGAAAGGATTAACTAAAAGATTGGCAGTGGGGGGGGAAACAGAAATTCAGAACATATGGGAAAATATGGGGAATCCTTTTAGTTGTGTGTATTTATTTGTGTGTGTCCTAGGGCCCCGTCAAACATGAGGTCTCCAGACGTCCCCAACCTTTCTCGGGGACCAGCTTTTCATCCAGAGTGGTTGTTTGACGGTCCCGGGGCGCAGCCGGAGGCCACAGGAGGCAGAAACCGGCGATCACAGATTGGGGCGGGGCATTTTCTCGGTTTCGGCAAGCTTGCTTGCACGGAAGGGGGGGTTGCGCGGCGAGGCCCGAAAGGAAGTGTGGACGTCGCGCAAGTCAGGTCTCATTTGCACGCCTTTGTAACCCAGCACAGCTTGAAAAAGTAGCGGAGGGTGGGTTGGCTGGTGGGGGGGGAATGCCATGCAGGTCAATTCGCTCCCAGGTGTCGTGTTTTTTTCAATATGGGGTCCCCGGAAGTCTCGACCCATTCTCCAGGATCCGTTATTCATCCTGAGTCGTTTTTGTTGACGGTCCCGTGGCCCAGCGAAGGCCGCGAGAGGCCGAAAATAGCGAAAAGCCTCCGTTATGATTGTTTTAATGCGTTGGATCTCTGGGCTTGACTCTACAGTACATCGCCCTCTAATGTCCAGTGCTTCCCCGCCTGACATTCTGGGGCCGTTGGAATGACAGAGCGGAGCTCCCAACCCGCCTCGCACACCCTGTCTGCCACGGTCGCTTGGCCCGAAGTGCGCTGGCGACCTTTGGGTATCCCGGCCCGCGTCTTTGACGAGCGACGAGTGCATGCCCCGGCCGCAGGGCCCAAAGTGTGCCGCTGCTCCCGGATCCCCTCCGGTGATCATCCGATAGAATTGCAACGATACAGCAGAGAGCAGCACGGCCCCTGCGCAAGGATGAAACGCACAAATCGAGAAGTGTATGCATTGTTTTTTTGTTTGAGTGTGCCGATGCTCCCTGGGCATCCCGCCCCGCGCTTTGTGGTCCGGGACCGCTCGAAGCAAGACCTCTGCTGGATCTCGGCGTCGCTCGGACGTGTGCACGTGTTTGTCTTGCCTCGGCGAGGGCCCTCGAGGAGTACCTTGGACCCTCCTGCGAAAGATGGAGCGCACGACGTCGACCATGGGCACGGGGAAGGGACGTCCGAGGCGATGGCGGGCGGATGCGTCGGCGGTCTCGAGCCACGGGCAGGCTGCCCCTGCAAGGGGTACTGCTACAACCCGGAGCACGGGCGGGCCAACCTGTGCACCTGCGGCCACCGGCACGGGCTGCACGTGCGGACGTCCGACTCAGCGGCCACGGGCTGCCCCGTGTACTGGACGGTGGGGCCCGGAGGGATCCGCGGACGGTCGGACCGAGGTATCAGTCGGAGGAGGAAGGGGTAATTCGGATTACCCATGATGACCGCTGCCCTTCCCCGTTTTTCCCTTTTTGGGGGCCTCCTGCAGTGACCCTCGTCGGCACCGCTGGGCTCGCCTCGAAATCTAAAGGCTGCCGCCTCTGCCGCCGACCCCAACTATTGTTTATGGGGAATACTGGTCGGAGGTGTATTCTCAGTTGCAGACCTCCTCAGCCCGTTTTCTCTTCGGCGGCGGGGAGGAGGAGCAGGTCTCGCGAATCGATGGGCGGGCGCCCCGGGGCCGCGCTGGGGGAGGACAGGAGGAGGAGGACGGAGGGGGGAGGAGGAAGGAGGGAGGAAGGACGGAGGAAGGAGGAGGAGGAAGTAGGAGGAGGAGGGAGGAGGTGGGAGGAACGAGAAGGGAGGGAGGAGGTGGCCGGAGGGGAACCGCTGGCGACGGCGACGACGACGTCGGGCTCAGGGCGCGGCGCCGTCCCGCGGCCCCCGCGCGCGCGCGGTGGGCAGTGGCCTCGCCGAGGAGCGCGGCCGCCGCCGCCGCCGTCGTCGTCGTCGTCGTCGTGGTCGCCGTCATCCGCGCAGGACGACGAGGACGACGACGACGACGACGACGACGACGACGACGGCCACGGTGGCGACGACGACGACGGCGACGACGACGACGGCGACGACGACGACGACGACGACGACGACGGCGGTGGCGGCGGCGGCGGCGACGGCGGCGGGGGCAGCCCAGGGGCGGCCGGCGGCGGCGCCCGAGCGGCGGCCGGCAGCTGTTTCTCTCGGCGGCCCTCCAAATTGAGAACCTCTCTTTGGCATGGGAGGGGCATGGGAGGGGCATGGAGGGGGGTGTTGGTCG